TAGCACTGAACACTGGAGAGAAAGGAGGAACACTTTTATGTACTGATGACCAGATGACATGGTGGTTCACATTGAAAATACAAATGATTCTATAATCTATGTAGCTTTTCTTCTCGAGGATCGCCTGAGTACGGGCTGGGTGTGTCACATGCTGACACCATAACTAGGTTTGCGGGAGGCACATGTCATGCAGGGGGAGTGAATGTCCATTCATCACACTTATCAATCAAAAAGGATCCAGAGGTGATTCATGATGACCTACACAGTGACACAGTGAAACAGCTGTGAGAAATCGGTCCCACCCCAGGCTCAGGTACAGTTGGTCTGACACTGTTAAACTGTTAATCTTCCTCAAGATTCTAAGATGCATGTGCATATCAAGGGGAAAGAGAAGGAAAAGTTGGATGATCCAAGCTACCAGAGAGATGACGCTACAGATGGGAGGAGGGGGGCAGGGTACTTTGTAGTCCACAGTATAGAAAGGGGCCTGTATACTCACAGGGAATGGCTTGCTGAGTCTGAGTTAACAGTCCAGCCCAGGTGGAGGTGGGAGGATTGTTTCAAGAAGAACTTTATGGGACACAGGACCCAAATTGGAAGCTACAGAGCAAAAAGAAGTCGTAGTCCACTGTAGAGGATTTTAATCTCAGAACATGGTTGCTTTGGCAAGAGATCCCAACTGGAATATTAACACGACTGTAATCCAGGAGACAGAGGTAAGCAGATAAGAGTTCAAGGCCAGTCTGCTAAAGTTAGTTTGTTGAAGGAAGAATCCATGTTTGGAAGTGATGTGATGCCAGAAAAATCAGAAAAATATCTGACAGATTACGATATGCCAATCTCTGTGTCTGTGGGGGACGGCTCCAGGATATCCAAGAATCTCAAAATCTACAGATAGAGAATCAGTGTATATCTTCCAGTCATCCATGCCTGTCCTCCTTTGTGCTTTAAATCATCTCTGGGTTAAGTTAAAAACCTAACTTAAGGGAAATGCTAGGTAACAGCTGTTGTGCTATGTTGTTTCAACACCAACAAGAGCAAAGTCTGCGGAGTTGTAGATATCCTGCTGAATACTTTCTACCCACTGTTGGATGAAGCCACAGGTGCAGAGTCCAAGAGACCTACCTGACAATGTTGTTGCCTAAGCATGAGGAACTAGAATCTTGAGCTTATGCAGTGGGTCAGTTGGCAAAGGTGCTTGCTGCTGAGCCTAATAACCTGAGTTTGGTCCCTGTTGGTATAATGTTTTTGTTTTTTTTTTTTAACCCTTGTTCATTCAAATGCTGATTTCTACCCCAGACTCTCTGGTTTCAATCCGGATATTGCATTGCGATAGTCATCCTAAGCATCCTGTCTCAACTTGGTGCAAACTTTCAAATAAAGTAACCGGACACAATGTTGAGCTGGGAGGAGCCAAAGGACAGGAAAGAGGTGAGGAGCAAGAGGGCAGGAAATGAGTGGGAGGAGAAAGAGAGAGGAGAAGAGCTTGGAGATGGAGCTGGAGGAGAGATCTTGGAGGACACAGAACATGAACCAGACCTAAGATTTCACAAAAAGCAAGATAATGTGGGAAATCTAAATGTTAGGAAACTATTAGGGCTTGGAGGTTTAGGAGGGAATAAATATTGCCCAGCATTGTGTTCTAGGTTAACTAAATAAACCCAGTCTCTGTGTGGTGATTTGGGAATACAGCTGTTTAGGACTAACAGCAGCATTACTAAAAGATAATTATTAGTAAATATTAATCACTGATTACAACAGGTCCCTGAGAACTACACAGTGGAAGGAGAAAACCAAGTTATCCTCTGACCTCCTCACACATAATGTTACACATGCACATACATACACACACACACACACACACACACACACACACACACACACACACACAAATCCATTTTTTTTCTTTGTTTTTTGAGAGAGAGAGAAAGAATCTCAGCTGGCTGACTTCTAACTTGCTAGACCAGACTGGCCTTGAACTCACAGGGATCAGCCTGTCTCTGGCTTCCAAGCGCTGGGATTGAAAATGTATTCCACCATACCCTGTCACAATTTTAAAAAGTTAACATGGGAATATTTAGTTTATACCTTCAGAATCCTCATGTATCTCATGAAGTGTAGGGGACTCCCCTGAAACCAGCAACCTGGTTATTTTGGCAGCATTAAAGGGGGAAAAACGGGCAATTCTACTGTGAGGTCCCTTCTGAGCAGGGCCCCAGGTCATACTGCCCTGAGTCTCTGTCACCATGGGAACCCTGCACTAGTTCCACTGACCTGGTACAGAGATCTCTACTTCCTTCTCCTGGCCTAGAAGGATATTCTGGATGCAGCAGAACATGTTCCTTATGGAGCTGTCATTGATCATTATTGAAGACGCCACAGTGAACAGGCCTTGCTCGTCACGCTTCCTGGACTCTGATGTGGGTGGTAACTTCTCTCCTCTTGCTGTCCTCCAGTGCACCCGAGGTTCTGGGTACCATCCAGAGGAGGTGCACTCCAGGTCCCTCTCTCCATTCTCTTGAGATTTCATACTGATGTGAGGATCAGAGCCCACAGCTATTGGAGAGAAACTGGCCTTAATCCTTGGTGGTTATTCTTTGGGGGTTTTTACCATAGGACTCGAGTATATGTAGGGGGCACAGAAACCCAAGGACACTAGGCTCAGAAAATCTCAACTCTTCACTTCAAAGAAGAGTAGGGATCAACGAAATGACACAAGTGAACACCTCTTTAGAAAGATGGCACCTGAAATTACAAGCCTGTAATCCAAACCCTGGAAACACTCATGAGGGAGATAATCTTCTTTAAGTAGCCTAGGGCTACAAAGTAAGGAAAAAAAAAAAGAAAGAAAGAAAGAATAAAGGAAAGGAAAATGAAAGAAAAACGAAGGAAGGAAGAAAGGAAGGAAGGAAGGAAGGAAGGAAGGAAGGAAGGAAGGAAGAAAGAAAGGAAGGAAGGAGAGAAAGCAAACAAGCACAGGGTGACATGGATGAAAGAAAGAATAAAGGAATGACATTATTCTGAGACTGAACACACCTGACAAGTCCTGCTTCTAAACAATCATCTTCAGCCTTTGAAATGTGGGCAGATTTGCATGAACAGACATAAGAAGACAAGTGAGGTGGTGCACACCTATAATCGCAACACTTAGGGAGGTGGAGGCAGAGGAATCAGGAGTGTATGACCAGGCAAATCTCAGGTAAATAGCAAGGGCAAATCAAGCCTGGCCTACAGAAGAAAAGAAAGGAAGGAAGGAAGGAAGGAAGGAAGGAAGGAAGGAAGGAAGGAAGGAAGGAAGGAAGGAAGGAAGGAAGGAAGGAAGAAAAAGAGGAAGGAAGGGGGAAGAGAGGGAAGGAGAGAGGGAGGAAGGAAAGGAAAGGGGGGTAGAAGCGAGGGATAGAGGAAGGTGAGAGACAGGGAGGGAGGGAGGAAAGAGGGACAGCAAAACAAGATGAAAGTGTCCTTTAAGGTAAAAAGAACAGCAAAACTGAGAGGTGGACAAGGTGTCTCAGTCCAGAAGCTCCAGCACTGACAGTGGAGTCCTATTATTGGAAGAGAAGCCTGGGAAAGGAGCAGAGCACATCTTCCTCCTGATCAACAGGCAAGATTACACAGAGAAGACTGTCTCCACAGAGATGGAGTCATGTGGAGGACAGCAGATTTTCTACACTGCGATGTTCTGTTGGGGTCCTCTTTGAGGACAGGAACTTCAGCCTGTACTGCACATTTAAATGACTCCTGAGACTCCTGTTTTCTATTTCTGCCAGATTCTTTCTTCATAGTCCTAGAGGACAAAGACACATTCTACAACTTGACCCCAAAGAATTTACATAGTAGTCCAAATTCATGAACATATGTAAGAATGTGTATTTCAGGTCAAAAGGTTTTAGTATTTTTCAAATTGGGTCTTAGACTAGTGAATGAGCCACTAGAATTTAAATAAGTCTCTCTATATATATGTATTTATTTATTGAGACAGGGTTTATCTCTGTAGTCCATGCTTGCCTTGAACTTTATGTGTAGACCAGGCTAGCCTCAAACTCATAGATCCACCTACCTCTGCCACTCAAGTACTGAGAATACAGTTATGCATTACCATGCCTTGCCTAGACTTTTAGATATAATTGTCAAAATAGTGCTTTTTCCATACATACAAAAGCTGATGCTGCAAAGTATCTACTGTCATGGGCTGAGGACTAGATTTTACCAGAAACATGTTTGAATCCATATGTGGTGACACATGTCTGTTAGCGCAGAACCTGGGGTGTAGAGACTGGGGGATCAGGAGTTCAAGGGCAGATATCACAGCATTACATTGTATTTTTTTTAAATCAGCTTTTAAGGGTTATAATTGTTATGGTTACAGCTTAAAACCATATCCATACACATCACTAAAGTCAAATCCTGTCCACTCACCAGCTACTTTCAGATAGAGGAAAGCTTCTCCTTGGTCTTGTTTATCCCTGAAGAAGCACCCATACAGCCCTTCATCAAATGCTCTGATGTGGTGTATCTTTAGAGCAACGTGCCCCAAAGTGATGTTGTCCTGCACTAGGGTCACCCGCCCTTGATACTCGATCATCTGCTCTTCCTGCAGCTCCTGGCCTTCACGGTACACCATCACTGCAGGCGAGAATGTATTCCGGAACCAGCGCAGCTCTGTGTGCTCAGCACTCACACTGGGTGAGAGGTGACAAGGGAGCTGTGCGTCTTCACCCACTAAGGCCAAGATGGGCTCCAGGGGTCCAAGGACTTCAAAGTGACCTGCAAAAAGCCAAGCAGCATCAGATAGGATATGGAGATAGGAACACCATACTGACAGGAAGCCAAAAGCAAACCCCTCAAACTACTTTTAATCCTAGTCTCATGGTCCACCTGGGTCCTGTGAGGATGGGTGGGAAGTGGCATTGTGACCGTTTGCATTGGTAGAGACACGTTAACCCAGCAGTCAGTGGAAATGGGTGGGAGGAGAGAAGGGGGCCTTACCTGCATTCATCTTGGGCAGCTGCAGGACTATGAGGGTGAAAAGATACCCAAACAGCGGTTTTTGGAGAACTGCCACATACATCATTCTGAGCAGCAGGGTACAAATCAGGGTGTGCCAGGAGCTTCAGCCTAGGAGGGAAGAGTCAGGGGTAATTACAGCCTCTGGGGACCCCAATCTCCCAGTTCTCCAGCTGTCCCTCCCAAACTAAAGTGCTTTGCTCATTTGCATCTGAAATCTATTGTGCATCCTTTTTCAGAAGGATTTTGAGTTCATGATAATTGTCATCAACATCTGCCTATTCACTCTCCTAAGTTTAGTCAAATATATGTATGCATATACACACATATATATATATATATGATATATATATCAAGAGCACTAATTACTAAGAGAGACACAGGAGAAGGAAGAAGGCTGGTGTTTGTGAGATGCACTTTAAAAAAGGTAGTTCTTTCAGATACAAGAACTTGTCTTTTCCTTTTATCAATGAGTCAACCAAGAAATTCAGCGTAGGGGCACTGGTCAGCAGTTGTGAACACTGGCCAAGTCTTGCATTGTTCCCAGCTTTGGTGCCAGCACTTACGTGGTGGCTCACCATATTTGTAACTTTAATCTCAAAAGATCTAACATTTCTTTGTGGACTCTGTGGATACTGTATGAATAAGATATACAGACACATATGCAGGCAAACATTAATATACATAAAACAAAAAGTAAAAAAATAGTCAGGCAGAGTGATGCACACTTTTAATTCCAGGCATTAACTAGGTAGAGGCAGGCAGATCTCTGTGAGTTTCAGGCTAGCCTGGTCTACACAGTGAGCTTTACACCAGCCAGAACTACACAGTGAGATCCTATATCAAAAACCCCAAACCCTGACATCAGTAACTATATATACATATATATGTATGTATATACGTGATTAAATATCCAAAATAAATAGGAAGAAATTAATTCAACATAAGAAATAAACAGAAAGAAGATCTCTATTTCCAATCAGGTACAGATAAACATCTAGACTTCTCTGGGGATTTGCTTTTGAGAAGATGGGAGGCCACAGCCGTCCTGCAGCTTGCTTTACTATAAAGCAGGCAGTCCTGGAACCTGTGTCTGTCCTGATTCTTGTCCCATGGTACTGCTGAGAGACTAGGAGTCAGACTCCTGTGGCTTGGTTTTAAAGCTGGCAAATTTCCAAGGTGGCCAGCTTCTTCCTTACCCTCCTGATCTGAGATAAAAGCCAGGCAGCTTAAAAGGAAGGCCTGATAGGCTTTGTCTCCACTAGCAGGTGCCCTAATGATGAACTCAACAACTTCTAGGTTGGATCAGTACAAGGTACACAACAGTGATGGGCAAATCAACCATCCTATTCCCACCCAAACAGGAAAACACTAAGTAAGAGGAGGAAAACTCTTCAGAGACTTAAAAAACCCAGCCCTGGATTTTCCTGCTCATTTGTATGCACAACAGTGAGAACTTTATTAAGCAGGGGGGTCTGCTGGGCGGTGGTGGTACAAGCCTTTGACCCCAGCATTGAGGAAGCAGAGTCAGGAGGATCTCTGAGATCCAGGTCACCATATCTACAGAGTGAGTTCCAGGACTGGGCTACACAGAGATACCCTGTCTCAAATAATTAAATAAATAGATAGATAAATAGATAGATAGATAGATAGATAGATAGATAGATAGATAGATAGATAAATAAATAAATAAAAAGATCTTTTCTATTCAAGCTTGTCAGTGTTAATCTTTGGGCACAGCATGCATACACAATCCCTGTCTGGCCTCCCTCTTCTAGGCCCTATTTTCTTTATAAAATTCAGAGGTCCTGCCACTTCCTGCTGCAATAGCAGCAAGCAGGTCTCCATCGGCTCCTCCCTCAAGGCTATCTGATCACTATTCATAGCTAATAATAAAGAGATAAATTGCTTTCACCTTAAAAACACTCTTTTTACAATACTTTTGGATACACTGGTGGGCATGACACTCGATTATTCACACTGGAGAGCTTTAAAGGAAAGTTTCATTAACTGAGTCCATGAAATGAAAAAGCTTCAAATGTGAGGCTCAATTACTGCTGGCTCATAAACAGATCAGTGGAGCCTCTCAAGGGGTTCACAGACAAAGGACAGAAAGTATATAAAGAAATAAATTAATATTCCTGGTTTTAAAATAACTCAAGTCCACTGACAGAGAGATTTGCCTTTTCAATGACTGCTCTCAAAAAACAAACACATACATCTCATGGGATTATGGGAAAACAGCAAAGAAAAAAATGTTTAATGGATGTAACAATGCAAAGAGTTTTAGTATTGAAGGATCTGTGTGCAAATGTTAAAATTGTTGGATGTTTCCAGATGGAAAGTAAAGGGAGAAAGTTCATGCACCTGTGAGGGTCTGAATAGATGATTAAAGGTATATGAATGATAAGACTTAGAGACAAAATATATACATGATAGTAAGTTTTAAAGTGCAAAGTTTAACAAACTGAAATTAAGGCTCTATTTAAATCAGTGGATTTCTAAGGTATTAATCTATTCTTGGAAACTGTTAAAAGTACTAACTAAAGAAGCTTTACAAAACCAAAACTACAGACATGGTCTCAAAAAAAAATTAAATCTCCTTTGGTCATTTAATCTGATCACATGGGCCTGAAGAGAGATGGTTCAGTGGTTAAGAACACACTGGCTGTTCTTCCAAAGGAGACAGGCTCAGTTATGGTAACTCATAACTGTCTGTAATTCCTGTTCAGACATTCTCATACACTCAGGCAAGATACAAAAGCACATAAAAAGTTAACACAGTAAAATCAGTTTGTTTACACTTACTAACTAAAATGACAATCCCCAAATAGATTAAAACAGACAATGGTCTTTCTTATGTGTCTAAAACTTTTCATCTGTTTCTTTTTGTCAACTTAATAAAAGTTTCGTGTCTTCCAAGGGTGGTAGGTAGCTCAAGTCTTAGATCCCAGCCCTGGAAAGCTAGAGGCAGGAAGATCTCTGAGTTCAAGGACTGCCTGGTCTACACAGGGATCTTCAAACCAGTCAGAGCTACATAGAGACCCTGTCTACAAACAAACAAACAAACAAACAAACAACAAAGTTCATGTCTTTCATAGCATTCCCTAAATTCTGAAAGACAAGCCATAACTGAGCATTACTCAAAAACTAAATCCACAGTCTGGTGTTGTGGTACACACCTTTAAACCCAGCACTGAGAGGCAGAGGCAGGTGGACCTCTGAATTGAAGGCTTGGGGGCTTTGCTGAATTAGGTTGAAGTCTGACATCTCTGGATAGCCATTTATTCCCTCTCAGTCTATGCCAGTGGACTCTCTTTTCTCAGTGAAGCCCTAAAAACCCACCCTTCTCCCAATATGGGTGACCCAGGTCTTGTAGGAAGCATCACACAGCTCTCAGGGCAGATTACAAGCCAGACCCTTTCCTGAGAAGGAAACCAGATCCAGCAGCACCTAGTAACTCCTAGAAATGCCCCACCCTGCTAAGGATGGTCTTAGGCAGGGACCTTCAACTGTACTTGGAGATTTCCCCCTCACTTTGGGATAATTAAGTACTGTATTTTCCTTCTCATGAGAGGACCATCCTCCTGCATGGGAAATGAGGCACTGTACTATTCATTGCACGTAAATTAAGTATCTCTGATCTGATTCCCTTCCACTGCCCAAGGTTCATAAATCCCTGAGTTCAAATAAACGTGCTGACTGGCTTCCTCATACCATCAGCCTTCTGTCATGACTACTGGAGACTCATATTTTATCCCCCACTGCCCAGTCTCACCAGGCCTGCCCTCCAGCCTGCTGGGCCCATGTCTCAGCTGCAAGCTAACCAGGCATGGGCTTCCACCAGCACCTCTGCCTTGCTCAGCACAGCAGCCCAACCAAGAGCTGTAAGGCTTTGATATCACCATAGGCTTTGGAATGCCCGAGCTTCCATTGGCACCGGCTATGTCATTCTAAAAGACCTAACTGTAACACCCTATGGAAAACCTTCTCCACTCTGGCCTAGCACATGGGTCTCATGCTATCTGCCCGAGAGAAATGTAATCCCAGTTGTCCTTCTGGATCCCTGCCAAAGGGAGTAGGACAAAGCCCAGCCTGGTCTACAGAGCAAGTTCTAGGGCAGCAAGGCCTACGAAGAGAAACTTCGTCTTAAAAAACCAACCAACCAACCAACTGACCAAAAAAAAAAAAAAAGAAAGAAAGAAAGAAAAAGAAAGGAGAAAGGAGAAAGGATTGAAAGGATTAACTGCTTAGGAACAATTCACACTTTGAAAATTAAATAAAAACAGGCCTGGGAAAGACTCTACCCAGCAGTGTATCAAAGCAGATGCTGAGACTCATAACCAAACCTTTGGCAGAGTGCAGGGAATCATATGAAAGAAGGGGGAGTTAGTAGGACCTGGAGAGGACAAAAGCTCCACAAGAACCAAATATATCTGGGCACAGGGGTCTTTTCTGAGACTGTATCTCCAATCAAGGCCCATGTATGGCTATAACATAGAACCCCTGCTCAGATGTAGCTCATGGTAGCTCAGTATCCAGGTGGGTACTCTAGTAAGGGGAACAGGGACTATTTCTGATATGAACTCAATGCCTGGCTCTTGGAACCCTTCCCCCTCCCGAGGGAGGAGCAGCCTTGCTAGGCCACAGAGGTGGACTTTGAAGCCAGCCCTAAAGATACCTGATAAGCTAGGGTGGGATGGAAGGGGAGGAGGACCTCTCCTTTCAGTGGACATGGAAAGGGACATGGCGGGGATGAAGGAGGGAGGGTGGGGTTGGAAGGGAATGAGGGAGCAGGCTATAGCTGGAATACAGAGTTAATAGACTGTAACCTTCCCACCCCACACACAAAATAAGTTAGAATGTAATAAATACATCTTAAGGATATTTTCAACACATGTTGATGCACTGACGACAGCCCTTTATGACTTTTTGGATGCTTTCTAAGAGGTAACTCAGACATTTCAAGTTCTTTTTGCTCCTTTCAGTGATGACTAGGTTCTAAGAAAGTCCAGCTGACAGGTCTCAGCACCTGGCTGTCTTCCTGGAGCTCCACAGGTCTGCACCAAGCCTTCCCCGCCGCCTCCCACGCGAGCCCTCAGCCCTCTGGCTGACCTCCCCAATCCAGCCGCCAGGCAAGACCCTCATCCCCGCGGCCTGGCTGTCACTTTCTCACTCACCTGCTGCGATCCATAACGCACCGCTCGGGCTCTGAGAACTTCAGGCTCAACCTTCTCCCATGGCTGAGAATGTTCCACTCTGGCTGAGTCCGCTCCAGCAAGCTTCCTGCCCAAGTGCTGAAGCCCTGAATCAGCATCGCCATTGGCTAAACCGCTGTGTGAGACCGCCTCTGCATGGGTTTAGTTTGCGGGATTGGCTGAAACAAACTCAACTAGTCTTTGAAATCAGGTTACAAGGGGGGGGGGGGGGGACCCAATAGATATTTTTTAGCAGGGCGAACTTAAAGTTGATTTGGAGGAAAAGAAACTGCCAACACATGTCTGTGACACTCCTCTTTGGTCAAAGTGTTCCTTGATTGACTGAAGTGTGTTTTTGTTTTGTTGTTTTGTTTTGTTTTGTTTTGAAGAACATAATCACATAGCACCTGGAACCTATAGCCCGGATTTTATCTCTGCCTTAAAACTTCCTCCCTGATTTCCCCACATATATTTGGTAAATTCATAGATTTATGACTGTCTTTTGTTCCACAATCATAAAAGTTCATGTAAGACGCTCCATAGTGCCATTGGGGCTTAACGCCTTTCCAGCACTCCGGAAAGATGAATGCCCCTCCCTCCTCACTGAGGAGGATTGAATTTAAAGATACAGGAAGTGGTTCCTTTGATCCTGGTCAATCCTGACATGGGGAGGTCTCTGTGGCTCAACAGGTGGCTTCCAATTGGGATGGAGTGGGGAGTGGTGACTAGCTGCGGTCCTGGCTGACACTGCCCTGACCTCCCTGGGAGGTGGCCTGCCAGCCTAGACTGAATGCCTTGTCTGTGGAGGCCAGATAGCCCTGAGCGTTCTGGTATTTGCAGAGGGGCTGCGGTGAGTCAGTCTTTAGCCCTTGACTGTAAAGAAAGGCTGAGACACCATGTAGGAAAAGCGAGTAGATAAATGACATCTGCACAGTGCCACTGAGTGCCCAGGGCAGCAGCTGTGTGCAGAAGTGGGGAGGGTGCAGGGCTGAGGCTGAAGAAAGTACTTGGAACCTTTTTGTCCTCTAGCTATTCCTGAGGCTTGCTCCCCAACTTTAAAACTCTGACCTTTCACACGGATGCTAGGGGTCTTGACCTACTTTGATAAATATACTTTTAAAATAATATTAAGCTTAACATTACAATAATTATTAAATTGCAGTGAATTCAATACACTACACTCTGTGTAAGACTAAGGTGCCAGTTCACCCTCGGTCCCCTCTAGCCTCTTACCATGAACTGCACAATGGCCAGGATTGCCTCTCACCTGCTCACTGGGGTACTGAAGCTTAGCTGTCATTACCCCAGGGGCACCTGAGCCTAGCTGGCTCATCATGGGCTTTTCCCATTGGACAAATGACCTTCTCATCTCAGTTCCAGGTCAGGGTGTGGTGTAGAGTGGACATCTTCTGCCCTGGGTGAAAGGGTGTCGTCAATTCTTAAAGCCCCACATTTTTATGGTGTGGGCTTCACCACAGCTCTGACTTCTCCCATCTCTTGGTTCCTGTTTTCTCTGTGACTGCCATTTGTAGATTCCCCTGGCTCTCAAAAAACCTTTTTCTTATCTCCATATGCCCCACTTCTCTCACCCTAAGCCCACAGCATCTCGTGACATTGAAAAAAATGTCAAAAGGTGATAACACATTTGTTGGAGTTTTGTCTAATAATTATTGGCCCTCAAAATTTGGTTACTGCCTGCCGGATACATCCATTCTTGTTTCTGTAAACCTGTCTAAAACAATATACCTGATTGGTTCATTAAATGGCCTACACCTAGGCAGCACAGAATGGGGTAGGCATGGCTAAGGTTCCCAGGCTTTTGAGGGTGGAAGAATCATGAGACTCATGGGAGACAGACAGGCAGGAAGAAGCAGGACACCACAATGGGTTAGCTGGAGAAGAAACCCCATGGGGCTGGGAGGAAGGACTCCAATAATGGCATGAAAAGGCCCAGATAAGGAATAAAAGCAAGTGTTTGTAAGGTTATGGTTGGAAGATAGGAGGGTTAAGGAAGAGGGCATTGGATAGGGGCTGGGACATGGATGGTGAGGTGATGCAGGCAGCCTAGGCAGGAATTTCTGCCTTGCCCAATTGTAAAGTCTAACAGGTGTCTGTGTCTTCTTATCTGTGATAGCGGATTAAATAGTACTGCCGTGATCATCATAGGGCTAATAATAAATAAGATATAGCCTAACACCTTTTATTTACAACACATTTTTTTTTTTTTTTTGGTTTTTGTTTTTGTCTTCTGCCACCATCTAAATGCACTAAATTTCTAATGTGCTTTTTTTTTTTTTCTCACTTTTCTGGATATCTCCCTTGCCCTTGGATATCATATGAGTTGAGAAACAGTTTACTGAGAGACACTGTGCTGGGATCTGAGGTGAGAATCAAGGCCAGCAACTGGAAGAGGCTTTTGATGTGACTTGAGGGTTAGTCATACAACAAGAAGAAATGGATACAAAATTCCAGCAGGAAGAAATGAATGGAGATGGGAGCTGATGGCCTTCAGTGCTTGCTTTTTACCGGTTGAACTGATACCCTAGAATTGTCTGCATTGTTGTGCAGCCTGGGGCTTGTGTTATTTTTACAGAAAGATGTCTCACTTGCTGTGTAGACTAGGCTGGCCTGGAACTCAAGAGATCCACCTGCCTCAACTGTCATCTTTTTACCATTGATAAACCTGTTCGTCTTTCTTTTTTAAGTCAAGTTTTTCTCATGTACACCTTTTATTGTTTGTTTGTTTCATATTTGGTTGAATTCAGATATTTCAAGAACTTCATTTCTAATTTGTAATAAAAGTTTACAAGTTGATTTTTCAAAAAAGTCAATAAATTGCAGGTCTCTGTTAAAAATGCTTTTTCAATATAAAATAAAACCAAACCTTGGCTTTGAGGCTAGGGCTTCAGCTCAGGGGTAGAGAACTTGCCTATCATGTTAAAGTCCCTGGGTTCAGTCCTTAGCATGGCAACAAAGAAACATGTCTTACCGTTTTCTTCCAGCATCTAGTTATATGTGGTGGCTGTCTTCAAGCATAAGTCATTGGTCTGTCTGTCTGTCTTTTCCTTAGAGAAAAGGAAAGTTCCTCTCAGCCCTGGAACTTTCTCCTAAGGCCAGGCCTACCTCTGCCTCCCTAGTCAGGGGATTCAAAGCATGCACCAACACACCCAACTTGAGCTCAGTTTTCACATGTTTTGATCCCATTTACTTTCTGTACTCTTGAAAGTTACTGAAAATCCCAAAGAATTTTTACTTTGTGGGTTGTATCCATCAACATTTGACATATTACATATTGAGTATTGTAAATAATACAAAAGTGCACATTCCAGTGGGCAGGAAACCATCAGTACACATCAATTAACATCTAGAAAACTCTGAGCCTCTATGTAATGTGCAAAGATATAAACAATGTTGTGTAGCACCAAAGAGCTCTGACTTCATGAATCCTCTGAAACTGTCTTGGGCTGAAGCACACTTTTGAGGCTCTCTCTCTCTCTGGAGGTGACTGCTCCTGCCAGGCCAGTCTTGCTATCAGCTGGCTGGATGCTGTTTATTGGGTGAAATTTACCCTGGGAATATTCCTGGCTCCAAGCTGGGATGAGATGAGGTCAGGAGCAAGAGGTTCTTGGAAAGCTGCCTCTTTGGTCCTGCTATTCCTTGAGATTGGGGGTGGGAAAGGCAGGAAAGAGAGTTGTTCACAGTCCCCCTAGCCTGTGACACGGTAGAAAAATCTTGGGACGGGAAATTTTTTGGCTGTGATCACTTTCAAATGATCCACATGTCCTTTAGCCACCAACAGTGTGTGGATGGCTGACCTAGGCTTGAGATGGAAGGGTTGGTCTGGGCCCAGCTGCTCATCCACCTCAGCAGAAGAATAGCAGTGGAGTCATAGGTGTCCATGCAAGAGTGCAGACTGAGAGGGAGAAGGGCTTTGCAGCAGGAAATAGTATGAAATAGTGAAAGCGAGACCTTTCTCTTGGATTCTTAGACTTTTTCCTAGCGGTAGCAGATGGTCCCCAAGTACTGTCTCTCTCATGAGAATTTGTTACACTATAGGTTAGAAAGTCAGACCACAACACGTATAAGGCCAAATTGAATTCTTTATTTGTGTAAGGCTAACACCGCAGAAACACTCTTGGTGCTGAAGCTCACATGTAGTGTTACGAAAACCAAAAACACAGTCACATCAATGTTAGCTGAGGGCAACATTTGTTTTGGTTCCACACATTGGTTATTTCAAATACAACATGATGGTTTGATTTATACAATATTCAGTTTTTTAAGTCCAATGTTTAATTTGTATAACATGATTACCTTGGTTAATACATCTCAACCATGGCCAGGGGCATGGAAATCCCAAATGAGCAAACAATGTTGGGGGTGTTGACAGCTAAACATTGTCTAGGGAGACATAAAATTGAGTCAGGACAAGATTAAATTACCTTAATCACATCAAACTCCTCCACAGCAGACTACACTGTTTGCTCAGGATGCCAGGAAGCTGTGAGAAGTTAGGGGCTTTGAATTCCTTCAGTGTTGCGTATGACCTACTCACTGCAACTGGATCTTACACTTCCAGGTCCCAGTATCCCAGAGCCTGGAGACACAGCCTTCAGCTCAGGAGCCTTGGGGGACATTACATATCTGAGACACTGGAGTAACGCCCCTGTCAGTGCAAACTAGCTGTTGCACACCAACAGGATAAGGGCTGAATGACAGCACTGCAACAGGAAGGTAGGAACTTGCAATCCAGCCAGGCCAGTTCGCAGGCTCTTTTAATCCCAGCTCTAGGGAGGCAGAGCAGGTGGATCTCTGTGAGTTTGAGGCCAACCTGGTCTACAACTTGAGATTTAGGACAGCCATGGTGACACAGAGAAACCCTCTCTTGAAAAAAACAAAACAAAAAACAAAAACCCAAACCAACCAAACAACAGCAATAAAACCTTTGCAATCCTTGTACAAATGTGATGTGCCAAGCTATAGCTGTGAGTCACCATCCTAGACGCCTTTTGATCATGAGAGTGTGTCGATGGAGGGAAAAGACATCAGGTACACCACTGTCTTTCTCTGAGGCTGGGCTCAGCTTTGGGTGTATTACACACTTAGCTCTCTCCCTTCATGGCATGAACAGGGACATAGGGAGAAACAGAGTAAGGGAAACTGACATCCCTCCCAGGGTGAGCCAAAAGCAAGAGTGTGTTTTCATGATACAGACACCAGTAAGCAGAAGAGATGCTGCTGTAGCAGAGTGGCTGGGCGTGGGGCATGGAGGACACCAGTTAGTGTGGAGGTGTCTGTAGATAATGGGGGGGGGGGCAGCTCATGGTGCCTGAGAAACAAGAAGCTGAGGATCATCAAATAATGTCTCCAAAGTTGGGAAGACAAGACAGGGACACTTTTTGGAGCTGCTGATGTGATGCTGACCACACAGGGGCTGGTCAGGGACAGATGGAAGATGCAGACAGCTGGAGTGCTATCTGGAATCTTTCTGTCGCTCCTATGCTGGAGACCCTTCCTTTTCCAGCATTTCTCAATATCCCTTTAGCCTGTCCAACAGAAACTAAAGGAGAATTGAATTTGGTTACCCTGCTAGAGACAAGCAGTTTCATCTGCAGAATTCCCAGGTGCTTTCTGATTCACTCCTGGTCTGTTTTCACTTCACGTTTTGTATTCCTGCCCCTTAGCCTTCCCTGCAATCGTTCTGCCCTTTCTCTTTTTGTCTGGACACCAAGCTGCTTTTTGCCACACTCTTCCCTAACTCATCTTTCATTGTGTGTCCTCAGACTGTATTCCCAACCTCCTGAAATGCAGTTGGTGTAAAGATCATTACAAAATCTCCCACACAATCTGCCAATCCACTCCCCCCTCCCCAATTTTCTTAAGCCTGACCCTGTCCAAAGTCACGGAGGTTTCAGAGGACAAGTGACAGCTCCAGCTGCAGAAAAAGGGAACAGGAAAGGATGAATAGCAAAACACAATGGGATGAAGGAAGATGGGTGCCTAAGAGGTTCTGTGGATGGACCATGCTATCATCTGTTCGGAAAGGGTATGTCCTCTATCTTGGCAGAATGACTCTTATTCTATGACAACAGACTCCCTAAAGGCCTTGGGGATCAGTGTTCATTACCGTTTAACAGATGGTCATAGGAGACTTACCACAAGACCATAAGCAAAATAAAGGACGAATAGGGTCAGAGAAAGAAGCTTTGGGGAAAGTATAGATATGGATTCCAGCACTCACATTATAGAAGGAGACAATTCCTGACTCATAGTCTAAGAAAATACCTATACGGCGAGGGGCTTTCGGCAGGGAAAGAAGGACCCGAGATGGATTGAGGGCCCAGTACTCCTCTTGAGACAACTCCATGACCCAGAAGCCACTCTTGGGAGACATGAGGATAAACTCTTTTTTCAAGACGTTCTCCCTACATACCCCTACCAGCCAGTCAGTCCTACCTCCCACCTCCACCTCCCAGTAATGTCTCCCTGAAGTGAAGGTCTCACGGCCTAACACACAGGGCCAGGTGTCAAATCTCTCTGGTCTATCAGGTAACTGTTGACGTGAATCTTCCAGGTGAACTGATTTTAAATCCTTTCTCAGGACAAGGTGGGGGTAGGCTGTGTTTGGATCCAGAGTCACGTCAACTGGAGGTGAAGAGAAAGTGCATCAGTGAATGGCAGATGGCCCATGGCCCATGCCTCCTTTTCTGAAGATTCACAGCAGTGTTCTAGGAGGTGACAGCTAACTGCAGGGGAGAGTTGCCTTCTCACAGCCTCTACCCTCTTATCAGCAGCCATAGGCAATGCCAAGAAAGACAGCATCCAGGGGTGCTGTGCTCTACACCGCCCTGTCACATTGAGCTGGTCTCTAGGCCATCCCCCAGAGGTCCTTTAGGAGTCTCAGGAAAATACCAGGTTTTCTCCCACAATTAAAAATCTCTCTGCGCTCACTTCTATGAGCTTTTCAAGAGTTTCACTTTTGCCTATTCTTGATCTCTAAGTTCTTGGGAGGTGTTCTTGGGGGGTATTAAATGACAATGGTCCCTATTGGTTTGTGTATTGCAGCTGGTGGAACTGTTTGAGAAGGGTTAGGAGGTGTGGTCTTGAAGGAGGTGTGTCACTAGGTGTGAGCTCTGAGGTTTTCAAAAGACTTGTGCCATTTCAGGTGTGCTCTCTGCTCCATGTTGTGGTTCAGATACACACTCTCTCTCAGCTGCTGCCTCAGTGTCATCCTGCTGGCTGCCATGTTCCCTGCCATGACGGTGATGTATTCCTATCCCTCTGGAAGTGTAAGCCTTGAATATACCCTTCCTTCAAATGGTTGCCTTGTCATGCATTTTATTATATCCATAGAAAAGTAAGATCTCAGAGCCCAGAGCAAGTAAACTGACCTCTATATGACTGTGCCGATCTCCATTCTGAAAAACAAAAACAAAGCCAGAAGTCACTACCGTGTTAGGGGGAGAAAATTTTATGAACAGGGCAACAAAGAAAATGTTAACAAATCAAATATTTAGGGGTTTTTGTATAAAAAGAGCAACTATTTCCCAATGCCCTCCTATAGCTAGAAAAGTAAGGAGGTATTAAAAACAGGAGGGCCAGATACAGGCAAGACAGCTACACGTGTATGTGATGCAACATCAGCCATAACCAAGAAGGGTCTTTGTTTCTGTGAAAATAAAATGGGATTTCTTGTAGGTTTGCAATAATTTCTTTGCATGGTTATAGACTGTTGCTCCATCTGTGGCGAATAAAGGCAACACTTGGCAAATGACGTGTCATCGGTGGTGCTTGCTTCAGACAGCACCGCAGCCTGGAACAACACAGTGTCCACCTGTTGTGTAGCAGTTTCTGCTGAGGTCAAAACTTTCCCTCTTGGAGGAAGCTCATTAAGACACAGGATGTTAGGGGGAGGGGAAATAATGGGATATACTAAGGGGAGGGAAAAGATTCCATCCTTCAGGGGAGCTTGTTAAACTTGGGAAGTAAACAACTCAGTAGTTTTAGGAAGTCCCTGAAACTGACCAGATGTATTAGGCCCCTCCCTTCCTAACACATTGATATAGTATCTGTATTTTGGTCTGCCCTTGGTTCTTTATCTGGAATAAATGTTTATTCCTATATTCCCAGGAAAGGGTCTCACAGTAACACTTCAGACAGACCCCCAGCTTAGAACCTGTACAATGCAGTGCTTACTTCACACAGGACCACAGTCTAGAAACTCTACCCGGAAGTTTTGTGTTTAATGGATTCTCTCTCACATTCTCCTTATTCAAGCCAACTATCTAGTAGACCTGGCTTCTCTCCTCAAATTTAATCACTGAGGGGTGTGAACTGGTGGTGTGACCTCACAGGTTTCATGGCTTAGGGGGCTCTGATCAAACCCAACTCCTCTTTCTGAGCTCTGGACATTTGGTATTTCATGTGTATATATTCCCATTCTATTTTGGAATTTCTGAAATAACAGGCCCAAGGGAGATGTAAGCTCTCTAATGGGACAGTTAACCTACAGACCCTAAAAAGTGGATCCACCATCCGTAAGTAACGGCACTTTTTGTGACTTGCCCATAGGAGCAGCCTTGCCATTTCTCTGTCTGTTTCTTGTCCTGTATTGTTTCCAAACAAAATATATTCCCATAAGCCCCAGGAATGCTGACAGCAACATGGCACCCCAGGTTGAGGAAGACGGTGCTGTAACAACCCAGAAGAAAAGTGTTTGCTAACATCCTCAGTAGCTGAGGACTCTCAGAAACTGAGGTGGTGATGGTGGACCCCTCACTGTGTGCACCATGGCTTGCTTCACTCAAGCCTCCTGTTGTCAGGGGCTCTGTGCTACCTCTACAGTAACACCATACCTTGACTAGCTTTTGGCCAGTGGCCACCTCCACTGATAGGTTTCTTCTTTAATAAATCAGAAAGGATGAACCGTAGCAATGCAGTACGATAAAATATTTCTTAACTTCTAAGAGATTTGAACTTGTGCTGGACGTCACAGCCAGAGTTAATAATACACCTTGAGGTCACTTAAGATGTCTGGTGTACTGTGTACTCAGTCTATTCTTCAACCTATCTTTAAGAGAACAAAGTAACTAACCATACTTATCTTGTATTTCCCAGCAATCAACTTTTACAACACAACATAATGCATAACTGTAATCTTAAATTATCTGCTTTTCCATGGCCTTGACCCATGGCCTGTGTGTTCTGATCATCATTCGCTGGAAAGAGCAAAAATAGAGATTGAAAGCAATGCCTAATAAATAATGATGTCTTTAATAGTATTTCTTATCTGGCCAATGAGGGTCAGCTGGAGTCAGTGACTTACTGTTGAGAGAGAGAGAGAGAGAGAGAGAAGGAGAACATGAAGCCCTTTGTTGGGGAGAAGACAGATCCAGAGGGCCAGAATCATAAGACAGCCTACAGGCAGACAAGATTCCTGCCTCAGACAGGAGGAGCACAGGGAGAGTGAAGCAGAATATTCCCATCTAGGCTCAGTCTTAGTTAAATGTCACTAAGGGCTACCACTTTGATTCATCTTCTTAATGCAACACCCACATAATAACGGTGAGTTGCGTTTGTTATTAATGGGTTTAGAACAACTGCCCTCCCTTTTCTGTGCCTTTTGAAGATTATATATTTGTTTATTAATTAGCGGAACAATCACACAGCTTCCAGCTACAGCAAGGGTCTTCAAGAAGTGTCAAATTTGGTGCCTGTGGGCCTTTCTATGCAGATGTCTGCTCTTGGGGAACGCCTACGCGACATACCCTGTGGCTCCCTGACCGCCACCCGACACACACAAAATAAATTAGAATGCAATAAAATATTTTACGATTACAACACATGTTGACTGGCTGAAGACAGCTCTTTAGATTCTTTTAGATCCTTCTGGATGGCCTGACGGCATTTTAGCTCCTTTTGCTCCTCTTAGTAATGGCCCGATTCTATGAACGTCCAGCTGACAAGTCTGTACACCTGGCTGTCTTCCTGGAACCCCGCAGGTCCGCACCCCGCGATTCCCGCTACCTAGCACGGGAACCCTCATCTGTTCGCTGACTGACTGGCCCACGCCCACCCACTAGGTAGGCCCCTCACCTTCCCACCTTCACCCCCATAACCTAGCTGTTACTCCCCCCACTCACCTCCTGCTACCCATTTATAACCGCTCCAGCGAGGAAGGTATCAGGCCATCAGTCTCCGTGGTTAAAGAATGTTACACACTCAACCCCAGCGGTTTCTTACCGGGCAATCCGTCCATCCCAAGCCTCTCCCGAGCCACAGCAGCTGGAGCTCGGTATCAAGGGTGCTACTAGCTAGGGCCTGGGAACCAGTTCTGAAAGGCTGCCTTCGATTGGCTGTAGCTCCGCTGCTGCTGGCTGACTCGGCCCATTTCCTCATTAAGTTTTCTGTAGCTGGTAGATGTCTTTCTCAGGCCAAAGTTCATCTGGAGGAAAGGATCTGGAAACTGTCCACATCTGTCTGCGCCACTCACTCAGAGAAAGACTAAAAGAATTTTCTTTTAGTCAAAGTAAAGTTGATTACTTAAAGTCAAAGTTATTTGATTGACTGAAAGGTAGTTGTGTTGTTTTGAAAGGACAGGATCACAGAGCGTTTTAAACCTGTAGCAGGGACTTCGTCTCTGCTGTGACCTGCCTCCCTGGTCTCTCCATTCATGTATTTGGCAAATGCATAGAGCTATGGCTGCCGTTTTATAACGATGACCTGCAATGAGGAAGTGTAAGATGAAAATAAACCCTTTCCTCCCCAAGCTGCCTTAATGACCATCGCAACAGGAAAACCTTAGTTTAGTCCCGTGCCTCAGAGGAGAGCTAAGCAGCACCCACCTCCCGGCCTACTCTAGAGCTGTAACACCTGGCCTTAGTTCCTGTGACGCAAATCTCCACTCCTCTGGAACCCCACCTCCCCAGCGGCTCTCAAACGTCCCAATTCAGCTGGTCCCTGCAGTCTGCAGGGATTCACACAGGGTTGTGCCTGGACAGATGCTGGGACAGGAGGTGGTGCTAGAAGGTTGGGCCTATTTCCTTGCTGGGGTGAAAAGTTGTGTAACTGTCTATGAGACTTCAGAGAAGGAAACATTACTGAGGATGAGCAGCTGTGGTTCGTTTTTTGCCAAAGCATTCCCACATCCCATTTTGCTCTAACCACATGGGTCATTTAATGGTTCTTCACGAAGTCCCTTCTTGCTTTGCTGCTCCTCGGCTTGCCATTCACACTGCTTCCCCACCCAGCTCTCACAGGCTGATTCTTTCTCAGTCCTCCAGCCACAGCAAAACCCCAGGAGGCCCTTCCAAAGCTCTCAAACCTCATATATCCAGCCCACCTCACTTCAGCCTTCCAAAGTACCTCCCTTTCCTTCTCCTACTCGTTTCCCTTTGTTCCTAGTAAATTCCCATCTTCTTTAGTGGTGCTCCTGTGCATGAATGGTTGGCACATGACAGATGCTGAATGTGGTGAGACTGAATAAGATATGAATTAAAGGCAGAGGAAGGCAAGCAGGGGCTACACAGTTTAATATTCTCTTAGTATCAAGCACAAAGCTGGGCTTGTGTAGTTTCAACCAACAATCAAAATTTATTAATTTTAGGCTTCAAAGATCCCATAAAAATAAGGGATGATTAACTAAAAAAGCGTGAATGTGTTGATAGGCTTAGGATAGTGCTTTAAACTGGAGACTGGTTGTCTTAATTAGGGTTTGTATTGCTGTGACAAACCACCATGACCAAAAGCAACTTTGGGAGAAAAGGGTTTATTTCAGCTAATATATCCAGATCATAATCCATCCTGAAGGGAAATGGAGGCAGGAACTGAAGCAGAGGGCGTGGAGAACTGCCTTGCTCTGCATGGCTTGCTCAGCCTGCTTTATAGTATCTCTCTGGACCACTTGCCTCATTCGGTACCCCCACAAAGGGCTGGGCTCTTTCACATCAATCATTAATCAAGAAAACGCCTCATAGGCTTTGCCCACAGGCCAGTCTAGTGTGGGGCATCTTCTCAATCGAGGTTCCCTCTTCTCAAATGATTCCGGCTTGTGTCAAGTTGACAAAAAACCAACCAGAACCCCAATGTATCTGTTCTGATAATTCAAGCACCTTAGTTTAGGAACGGGGGCATAGTTCAGGGGCCTGTAAGGTTAATATTTGTTTTCTAATAAGGCATTGTCACTCTCTAGAGTACACTGTAGTTCCCTAGATCTTGTATGTCCTTTGGTAGGCCAACAAATTAAATGAAAAAGGCAGATATAACAACACGGCTCTCTTTTGGTTAATCATTCATTAGATTTTTAAAAGCTTAGATAATTCTTTTTATTATTTAATACTATTTTGATAAAATATATTTTGCTTTAGAAACTGTATTAGTCAGAGTTCTCTAGAGTAACAGAACTTATAGAATGACCCTTTCCCAATTCAGCTAATTCAACAATGGCTGGCTGTGAACAGAAAGTACAAGAACTGGGTAGTTGCTCAGTCCACAAGGCTGGTCTTCTGTGTATGCTGGAATCCCAAAGAAGTAGGCTCCAATACTAGTGAAGGAATGGATGTGCTGGCAAGGTGAAGGCAAACAGGCAAAAAGCAAAAGCTTTCCTCTTCTGTGTTCTTATATTGATGTGCAGCAGAAGGCCCAGATTAAAGGTGTGTGTGTGTCTTTCTGCCTCAAGCTCTGGGATCAGTAATATATCTCTTTTTTTTTCTCAAAGGTATGGACTACAAGGAGACTTACCCATTTCAAACCAAGTAGGAAATCTCTCAGACATATTCCCTGTATTTCTAGATTGTAGTTCATTCCAGATCATAGAAACAGCTTTGTTCCCCCCCCCCCCCACAGTGTTTCTCTGTGTAGCCTTGGCTGTAGACTAGGCTGGAACTCACTCTGTAGACTAGGCTGGCCTCAAACCCAGAGATTTGCCTGTCTCTGCCTCCTGAGAACTGGTGTCACCACTACCCAGCTCAGAAACAACTTTTTAAATTAGACATATACTGTTCATATGAAACTGTGATTAGCTTATTACTGTTTTCACGTAAATGGATACATACAATTGTTTTTCTGTTTTCAACTTCAAATGCCATAAGCAGAAACAGATATTAGTCAGGCATGGTAGCATAATCCTATAATCCCCACACTGAAGAGATGGGATAAAGCCAGGCATAGTGGAACACACATTTAATCCCAGCACTCAGGAGGCAGAGGCAGATCTCTGCAAGGTCAAGGCCATCCTGCTGTACATGGTGAGTTCCAGGACAGCCAGAGCTACATAGTGAGATCCTGTCTTAAAAAGAACAACAACAAAAGAAATGGGCTGAAAGAGTCCAGAGCAGTGCCATACAGTAAGACTGTGACTAGAGAAAAACCAAGATAAATCTCAACAGGTATTAACCCAAGAGAACAAACGCTTAACAATTTCTGTACATCATAAGATCATAAACTAGGCTCAGTTGAGCATGTCTTTAACCCCAGCACTCCAGAGGTGGAGGGAGGCCAGTCTCTGGGAGTTCCAGGCCAGCCTGGCCTACAGGTGAGAACCTATCTTGAAGAAGGAGGACACTGTTGGGGTAAAGGAAGACATCCTTAGCCTAAGACACTTGAACTGCTACTATCTCCAGTAAACCTGAGTTATTTGGCCCTGGCTGCTCAGCAAGGAGCTTAAGTCTCAAGCCGTTCTTACCGAACACTGACACGGGAACTCAGAACTGAGTGTTTACTGCAGGGAAGCCTGAGCCAGCTTACACCATCACTGCTCATTTTTCCTCCTATGTGTAGGCCTGCACACACACGCCAGACATCCTTATTATACGATATGTCAATCTTTGGCTTTGGATCTCAATGGACCATTAGCTCCTACCTACCCACAGCTGTCATATGGGCCTACCCCCTAGCTCTCCAGGTGATTTCCTCCACCTACGGCCTCAATTTAAATTTCTCTGTCTCCTTCCTCTGCTTTCTCTCCTCTTACATCCTGATGCACTCTGTTGCTCTTACCCTATGTCCGAGGTGGCCAGAGAGCATCATGTTGAAGCTCTGAAGTTTCTGCCACTCCCCTTCTCACACTTTCTTCCCATGAGAAAGATGGGTCATAGCAGTAGTCTCCCAAGACTGAATCTTGCTAGGCAGAGAGTTAGAAGAAAATAAACTACTGAAGGCATGAACTGAAGCGTGGACCTGAAGTGTGTGTGAAGGAGGCAGCTGGAAGATGCTTCCGGGTGACCTGAAGGACACAGGGTCTGCTCTCAACCAGCTGTCCGGAGAACTATGTCTTCCTTCCGTGGCTCTGAGAAACTGGTCTTGTCCTATATAGGACCAGGCCGCCCTCAGGTATTGTAACTCCCTGTGCCCCTGTGAATGCTGGACAGATGAAGAGGGGACTGTCATCGGAACCGAGCCTAAAGAAGGGTCTCAGGGGCCCAGCGAAGGCCACAGGAGGACATGTGTAGATATGAGATCTGTCTCGCATGTTGTAGAAGGAAACATCGCCACCTTCGCAGTCCAGGAAGATGGCCACACGGTGAAGTCGCTCTTTCAGGGGTATGATCTTTTCTGGGGAGGACAGGGCTCGGTACTGGTTTCCAAACATCTCCAGGGTCCAGAAGCCATTCTGAGGAACCAACGGGGCCTCCCCTTTCCTTTCAACACTGTCCCTACAAACGCCAATGGCCCACACCATTACATTTTCCACCTCCACCTCCCAGTAATGCTTCCCCGAGGAGAAGCTCTCCCGGCCTAGGACACATGGCCGGCAATCAAATCTCTCAGGGTTGTCAGGCACGCTCTGCCTCGAAGGGCCTCGTCTTACACTTCTCTGGCCATCTGACAGGAAGAGCTCAGGATGAGCAGTATCTGGGTCCAGGACCACATCAGCTGTAGAAGAAGTCTCAGACTTAGTGTTGAGATCTCAGACTCCTGGGTAGGCACAACCTCCATTCCCCCCTTGGGTCTTGGGAGTTGATTCCTCTGTGTGGTAGCCTTTTCAAAAACGGCTTTTTGGATCTTAGGAAGCTCATAATGGAACTCATTTGTCTCCTAGGGCCAAGAGCATTATCGTCTATGGAAAAAACTGGAGCTCTAAGAAACCCAGAAAGTTTAGCAAATAAACAAAAAAGAATGGTTCCCCCTTTCAGCATTTTCAGACCTTCCCCAGTGTTTACCATAAGATAAGATCTCTGAAATTCCCTAGGTAGAAACCATTCAACCTGGCTTTGACCAACAAGGGAGCCTTAATCTCTCACTCTCCCTAATGATGAGTCAGTTAAGGAATTAAACTGAGTCTCGCTAGACAGTGTCCTGGCTAGTACAGGATCACTTCACTGGCCTCTGAATACTTTCAACCGGATGACAACTGATTGAAATGACTGATAAGGGTGCCCACCAAAGGATAAAGGAGGAGGAAAGATGTCCACAGCCAAGCTGAGAGGTGTGTGCTGCATACCTCAGAGGGGAGTATTTCCAGCCAGGTGTGAAGCCCAGGGCAGTGACTACTGTGGACATGGGAAGTGCTTGCCAAACATCTACACTATGGCTTGCCTGGTCAGTCCACTTCGCTTATCACGTTAGAATGGCACCTTCCCACCTCCAAGTTGGTAAGTCTGATTGTGACAGCTTGTGGTTGTGTGTCAAGTAGCTTGCGACAATACTAAATTTCTCCTTAAGGAGCAGCTGGTAAAGCCCGTGTTCTTTGGTGCTTGACGATGAAGCATGAAAAAATAAATAATGCTCAGGACGATGGGGCAGCCAGGCTTTGGGCTCTCCCACTCGTCTGGCTCACTGTTACTGTTCTCCAGGGAGCAGGAAGGCATTTCTGGACACCTGGGAATTACGTTCCTGATTAGCCCCAGGAAGCGTATTACCTTTTTGCCACATGGGGATCCAACTGTTCACTCTAACTGAATGAATTCAAGATCCAAGAGCAAGACTACTCTTGGGAGAGATGTTCTGTATGAGAGACCTCTGCTACCTATGGGTTACCTCCTTCTAAAAAGAAAGGACTGTGAGAAATAAACTACAGGGCTGACTGAAAGCTGTGGTGATCCCCTGACAAAGCTGGCGTCTAGCATTTTAGACGCCATGGCCAATGAGGCACTCTCAGCCCCCTACTTCCCCACTCCACGGCCCTTGGGTTCTTCGTTCATGTCCTCCCTTAGAGTGAAGAAATCTCAGAATGTAAGGGAATGCCACAAACACTCACCGGCATGCAAGAGGGTTCTTCTCCATCCTGCAAGTGACAGAGAGGTGAATGTCATGAGGTCATGGCTAAGCCAGCAGAACACAACCCGCAAAGAAGTTCAGGGGAAGCGAAACTTACTCAATTCTTCTTGAAGTTGCCCTGAAAAGGAAGCAAAGCAATGTACTCAGTAGGCAGCTGAGAGAATTTAGGGCTGGCTCTTGCTACAGCACCCAAACCCTTCATTCCCCCCTGAGAAGGTTAATCTTGATTGTGACATTGAGAGGATCACTGTGACAGTGACATTAGAGTCACTGTGGAAACAAGCCTAGGTTTGCTTGTGAGGGATTTTCTAGGTTAGATTAGCGAGTTTCATCACAATGGCTTAGAAGGTAAGGATGCTTATTGCAGAGCCTGAGTCCAACTTCAACAAATTATTCTGTTTTCTATATGCAGGCAATGGCGTGCCATGCTCCTCCAAATGAATAAATGTAATTAAAAAAAAATATTGAGGGTGTAGGCATAATGTTCTTATTCACAGTGCAAAGAATCAAATGCTGATTTCTGGGTCCCTCCTCCCCCGCCCTGTCTGGCTGCAATCCTTGTTCTGAGAATCCCCTAAACTTTGCTCCCCAATTATCCCCTGATTATGCCAATAAAGCAGCTTAACAGCCAATTAACAGCTGAGCAGGAGAGAGAATAGGGCTGGACTTTCTGCCAGCCAGGGGAGAAGAGAGAGAGAGAGAGAGGATGTAGGGGATTCACCCACAGGCAGAGGTCCAGGAGACATCAGGAAGAGCAGCTGAGCAAAGAGAAAGCCGTAAAGAGCAAGGATCTCAGAGATTTTGGCAAAGAGGAAGCCAGACTAGCCTAGAGGGTTCAGAATAGAGTAATAACCTGCTCAGTATTTTGCCATAAAGCACAATAAATAACATACTCCAGTCTCAATTAGTTGGGGATGCTAGCTAACCGGGTTAAGAGAGAAAGTGCAACACACACTCTTTCTTTCTTTCTTTCCTTCCTTTCTTTCTTTCTTTCTTTCTTTCTTTCTTTCTTTCTTTCTTTCTTTCTTTCTTTCCTTCTTTTTTCTTTTTCTAGTTTTTTGAGACAGGGTTTCTTTGTATAGCCTTGGCTGTCCTGGACTAGCTTTGTAGACCACTCTGGCCTCTGCCTCCCTGAGGGCTGGGATTAAAGGCATGCACCATCACGCCCAGCTAACACACACATTTTAAAAAGTAACACTAACATTAGGGTCTGAAAAGATGGCTTAGTGGTTAAGAGCACTTGTTGCTTTCGCAGAAGACATGTTCCATTTCTAGCACCGACACGGTAGTTCACAAACTTCACTACCAGGCCATCCAATGCCCTTTTCTCATCTCTGTGGGCACCAGGCATTCACTGGGTACACATACATACATACAAGCAAAATATTCATTCACATAAGTTTAATTAAAAATTTTTCATTTACTTAGTGTGTGTGAGTGTTGTGTCTGTTGTGTACATGTGGCGTATTGCATATTGGGTGTCCGAGGACAGCTTGCAGGAGTTTGTTCTCTTCTTCTACCGTGTGGGTTCTGGGTATTGAACTCTGGGATGTCAGACTTGATACAAAGTGCCTTTACCTGCTGACCCATCTTGTTGGCCCCTGTCAGATAACTTTATCACAGCAATGAGGAAAGCATCTAATATAATACCCATGCTGAGAGCAGTCAGAAACCAGGAGTGTTATGTACCAGGTAAGTGGACATTATTGGGGCCTTTTGTTTGTTTGTTTGTTTGTTTTTTGCTCTTGTTCAGGAATTCAGACCTGCTTGGAACCAAGTGAATGACGCAATGTTTGCAAATTAGAACAAAGGATCCAAAGGCTTAATTATTAGCATATGAGAGTTCTGAGCGCTTCTGCTGCCTCTCTGTAGCCTGTCTCTCGTAAGCTTCTACCTGTCAGTCAGAAGGGCGGTGTCCTTTCTTTTCTTTTCCTCCTCCTTTTTTCATTTTTATGAGATGTGATCCTAGGTGGCCTAGGCTGGCTTTGAACTCACTAGGGAGCTGAGGCTGGCCTCGCATTGAAGAATGGTGAACTCTAGCACTCTACCCCTTTACCTTCTGGGTTCTTTCTCTTTCTCCTAGTTCCTTACGTGCAGTTTCTTTTTCTTCGTATTCAACTTGTTTTTCAGCTGACAGAATCGATTTCTTCCTCTGGTGTTTCTTGACAAGGCAGAGGCTTGCAGATGTGAGGAGGATCAGCATTACCATAGGCAGAGTGACGGCCATGGCCACCATCCAGAGAGGAAGGCCGGGCTCGACGACGGGTTCTGGAAAGTGAGCCAGAGAAGGGCTGTGTGGTGAGGGACAGAACACGGGCATGGATGAAACAAGGTAAGCAATGTGCTAAGCCTCTCCCACCACCACCTCACACAGCCGCCACACCCCTCCCCAGCATTCTGGCCCAGGCTCTTGCATTGCCTCCTTCCTTGCTCTGCCCTTGCTGTATAAGTCTCTTCTCAACAGAGAGACAGGGATCCAGTTCATTCTACGTTAAAACCCTCTCATGTGCTGGGTGTGGTGACACATACTGTAATCCCAACACAGGGGAGGCAGAGGGAGGAGGATCACCACAGGTCCAAGTCCTGGTTAAGTTTAAGTCTATTCTTATGCTCTGTCTCCCAACGGTGGGGCCTACGGGTATAAACCAACATAACCACTGTTCTCCACTGTTTATCACTGCTAATTCATGTGGTCGGGACTGAATGATTTGCTTCTTGTTGCAAAGGATGTGGCCTCAGTTCAGCTCCAGCCTCCAGCTCTGCAGAGCCAAAAATCCTTCTCCAGACCATCCTCTAGTCCCTCATCAACTCCAGACATCAACCTATGTGCCGAGGAGCCTATCTTTTCAGGACGCATCTCCAGAGGGCAGAGGACTGACCTGGAATGAAAATCATGCTTTCCATCCGCTGGCTGAGCAGGGTGTTGTTGACAGAGCAGGTCATGTTCCTCACAGAGCGGTCCCTGATGGCCACAGTCATGGCGACTGCGAAGAGGCCTTCTCTGTCGGCTGCATACTCTTCCTCCCGGGCAGGCACAACTTCATCATAGGGGCCTCTCCACACGGCTCGGGGCTCTGGGTACCACCCTTTAGATGTGCACTCTAGCAGGATGCTCCCATCCTCTAGGGTCTCCATGTTAATGAAGGGCTTAGAACCCAGGCCTGGGAGGGAAGACCAGGGCTCGGCTAAAAATAGCAGTTGGTTTAGAACCGGCACTAGGGAGGCAGAAACAGGCAGATCTCTGTGAGTTCCAGGCCAGCCTGGTCTACAGAAGGAGAGTTTCAGGACAGCCAAGGCTTCGACGTGAGACCCTGTCTTACAAAACAAGCAAGCAAACAAAAAGAGTGGCTGAGCTAGGGATGTAGCTCAGTAGTAGAGTGTTTGTCTGGCTCACTGGGTAAAGAGCTTGTTGCACCAGTATGAAGACCTGACTTTGGATCCTCAGCATCTACACAAAAGCTGGGGTGGTCACGTGTCTATCAGCTCAGTACTGAGTCAGGGCATGAGGAGGCAGGCAGATCCTGCCGGCTACGTGGCCAGCCAGCCTAGCAGAACAGAAAGATCAAAGTTCAGTGAGAGACCCTGTCTCAAAAATTGAGTTGCAAAGTGACTGAGAAAGACACCTATAGCTACCACAAGCATACACACACAGGTGAGAACACACACCCACACACATAAACACATACACATTTATCTCAAACATACATGCATGTGCACACACATATGCCATAGATACTTGTGTGTGCACACACATACAACACGTGCACACCATCAAGTTAAACCAGCCGACCCTGAAGTTCTGACGTGAACAGGATCAGGGTAGGAAGGTCAGGAAACCTTCCTCCTTAATTTAATATTGTGTGATACTAAGAAAACATGGCTCCCTTCCCGGCATGCCCAGGTTAATTGCCATTTCTATCCTGAAGCTTCGCAAAAAGAGTAAAAGTACTCTTCTGCTGTGCCTCTATGGGGCCACCAGTCTTAGTTCATAATTTTGCTGTCTTATTTAATATTGACATCATCTGCTGACACATCGGTTGCTTTCTCTGCAATCGTTACTAGGAGAAATGGGAGAAAAGACAAGATTAGCTGGAGAGGATGATGACGATGATACTGTTTATAATCCCAGCACATGGCAGAGATGGAATGAAGATCAGATGTTCAGGGTCATGGTCAGCAACAAAGTGAGTTTAAGCCTGGCCTGAGCTATAAGTTTAACCAGCAAAACTATTAACCAGTGAAATCTCTAGTGAGCTTTTTTGGGGGGCAGTGCTTGGTTATTTTAGGTACCCTTGCGCATTTCTAACAGTGCCTACTGTCACTCAAGAAGCGACGGCCACAGCTTAGCAGAACTCACTCAGGTGGACTCAGGTAGAGCAACCCTCCCCATGTGAAGGGGATTCCAGGGGAAAATGTGCTAGTCCCTGATGAGTCTGAATCCAAGAGAGACACTTTCCCCAAAGCCGCCCTGGGAAATGCGAGCAGAGGATAATGGAGTGACTCACTTGCCACCATGAGCCTCAGGATGGCCTGATCATAGGACCTGCCTTCCTGGAAGTAGCAGCAGTAGATGCCATTGTCGTAGGCCGTGACACTGTGGATGATGAGCGCCACCCTTCCCTTGCTGATGTCTGTGCTCACGAAGGTGGTTCTTCCCTGGTATGCCTCCATCTGCTCTTCTGTCCTCTCTCGACGGCCCTTGTACACCAGCACCGCAGGGGAGAATTGCCACCGGAACCAGCGCACCTCCATGTCTTCAGCGCTTCTCTCTGGTGACAGACGGCAGTGCAGCGTGGTATTGTCTCCTACCATGGCCAGGATGGGCTCAGCTGGCCCCATGACAGTAAACTGGGCTATTCAACAAAGGAGGACAATCAGAGAGGAACTCCGGCCGTTAACCTACCCAGCATGATGAAGTGCTAGTCTAAGGTTTCAGGAGTGTTCAACCTGGGGCCCTGGAAAGCTATACATTCTGCTCAACCCGAAATGGCAAACGTACTTAAGATGTGAGGTTGGCTTTTGCCGTTGTTGCTTTGAGTCTGTGGTTCTCAAGTGTGAACTTTGTAGTGACAGTTTTGTGTCACAGTGTCACACAAAACAAACGTGTGTGCACTCAGAGCACCAACGCTGTGCTTTGGACACTGTCCTCGTTAGTTTTAACTGTCAACTTGTTAAGAAGTTGACAGTTCTGTGAGCCTAGAATTATCCCAGAAGAGAATTTCAACAGAGAAATTGCTTAGGTCAGAATGGGCATCTTTGTGGGAGATCGTCTTGACTGTGAACTGATGAGGAGGGGCCCTGCCCACACCATTCCCTGGGCAGGGGGTCCTGATCTACATAAGAGTCTGATGCCAGGCAGCAAGCGATATCTTCCATGGCCTGTCCTGCACCTCTTGAGTGGTGAAATGAGTTCCTTGGTTGGAGGTAATGCTGTGTGGAACAGCAAGCAGGCTTGCCTTCAGTGAAGGACTGTGGCCTGCATTTGTACCCAGTTAAGCCCTTCCCTTTCCTAAGTTGCTTTTTGTCAGGGTATTTGTCACAGCAACAGAAATTAAACTAGAACCTCTAGACCATTCAATGTAGGGCCCTACGAAATTCTTCATCTAGTGACTTTTTTATCAGGAGAACTGAAAAAGATTGGACAGCTTGGTTTAGATAAGTCCTTTCCAAGGCCACGGGCGGGGAGGGGGGCTTCCTAGATGGGCTGGTCAGCAGCGTCTCTGGGAACAATCCATCGAGGCTGCAAATACTTCAGGAACAAACACTGAGTTGGTGCCCACCCAGGGATGGAGGCTGGAAGATCAGTTCTTCAAAGTCACCTTCAGCTCCGTAGCAAGTTCAAGTCCAGCCAAGAACAAAAACCACAACAAACCACCAAAACCCAACAAACCACAACCCATGGGAACAGAACATTGATGTCACCCTGAGCACATACTGTACGCCCAGTGCCCAGACTGCCTTTCTTCTTCAGCCCATCACCTGGGTGTGGCACAGAGCTAGGTTCAAACCACAGTTTATGTACATTAAGCAGCTACTCTACCAACTGAACCACATTCCCAGCTTCCTTGTTTTGCTTTATGAGACAGTATCTTATCATGTAGCCCTGGCTGGCCTTGAACTCTTGGCAAGCTTGTCTCAGCCTTCCAAGTTTATACCTGGCAAGGTAAGCATTTAAATACTAATGTTTGATGATGTGATGTTGCAAGATGTCATTGATAGGTACTCCCTCTATTTTTAACTCTTTTGAATGCTGCCACTTGGAAATTTACAGGTCCACTTTGACGCTCTTGCTTCATTTCTGTCGGGCAAAATTGGGATAAATCTAGTGTACACATTCAGAAAGATGAGCCACCACAGCAGCAGTCCTCCTGCCTCTGTCTGTCGGGAGAACTGTGGGCATTGCTTTCTGGAAAGCCGACAGGAGCAAGGAGCCTACAGCTGTACCTGAGACCAGCACAACCAGGCTGAGGACCAGGAAGAAGAGAAGGGAGGCTAACGAGCAAGAATGCAGGGAAGTAGCAGGCTTCATAGGTCTTCAGGACAGAGTCACCTAGGTCACGTGTGGACAGAAAACCTAGAAGTACAGAGGAGAAATCACCCTCAGTTCTCATGTAGGTTACATTTGTTTGTCCCTACGCTGGCTTCATGTGCACTCTTGTCTTCTGCCTTAGACAGACTCCTTAAGGTATGGATCAGGTTATACCTTAATAGGTGCGATCACTAGACATTCTATTAAACAAACAACGTAAACATCAGGCAGGCAGTTTTCTACTATCTTAGGCTCAGTTGTCTTCCCAGAGTCCAGTTTCTTCAGCGGTCATTTGATATTCCTCCCCGTCCCTCCTCCTCTTCCTCTCTTCTTGGGCCTTCTCTTCTCCTCCTCCCCTTCCTCTCTCCTCTCACCCCACCCCTTCGTCCTCTTCCTTCCCCACTGGCTCTTTCTCCTACTTTTCCACCAAGTTCTTCCTCCTCCTTCTTCCTCCCTCCCTCCTCTTCCAGCCTCCTTCCCCCTCACCCCCTCCCGTCCTTGTCCTCCCTTCTCTTCCCCAGGTCAAGATGAGACTGCCCTTCCCCCTAGATGTTCTTTCCTGACTCAAGGATTCCGCTTTTCTCTCCGCACCTCTACCTCCCGCACCTCTACCTCCCGCTCCTAAGGCCCCAGCCAGGACGCAGGGCGCTCCCCGCCCCCCTCTTTACCTTTCAGAATTAACTCTGCGTTTTCTTTTCTTCTCTGACCCTCAAAAGCCGATTGTCCTGTCTTTTCTCTTCTCTCCAGCTCGCCAGTGGGCACAGTCGCCACCAGAGAACAGGCTGCTACAAAAAAAGAGGAAAGAACTTTTCATTCTCTATTAGTCTCGAGGTGCAGGCACTCGTGACAACAGACCTCGGTGGACCCACTCCGCGTGCAAGACTCACAATTTCCCTTAAGTGGGTTAGAGCCTGTGACTGGCCTGCCATGAGCCATCAGCCAATAGTATTCCTAGCTGTCACTAGTTACTAGGTAGCGTACACAGAAACAATCCTTTCTGCCCTCCAATTTTTCCTCCTTTTGCCCCTTTCTTTCTCTTCCCTCCTAGTCTTATTTCTCCCCCTTATCCTCTCTCTCTCTTCTCTTCCTCCCACTCGAGAGATCCTGGAGTTCTGGCTGCTGCCCCCAAACCCCATCCCTGTGTATTGAAGTGTGTGTGAAGATGGGAGGAAGGGAACCAGACCCAATCAGCCCTTTTTCCTAAGCCAGAAGAATCTTGTGCAAGTGGCTAGGCTTGCAAAAAGGGGTGCTGGAGGAAGGTTACAGGAAGCAGGTATGGGTGGATGAGAGAGAGTGAAGGACAGCCACAGTTAAGAACCCTTGCCAGTTATTAGAGACCTGTTGGGTAAGAGCTGCCTGCCTCATGGGGACACTGAAAAAGGGTGAAAAGAATTTTTCCTTGTGGAAATGGCATCCTAACGGAACAGGGGGCTGGCACGTAAGGTGAATTAAAGGTAAACATGAATGATATTCTTCACACGCCTTTCCTTCTTTTCTCCCTCTTCAGACAATGGCTTGGCACCTATATGCCCTTACGTTCAAACAATATCCCCTCAAATATGCAAATGTGAAAAAAAATAAGCATCTTGATTCAGGCTAGTCTGATGAGGGTTAGGGCTTAAGAGTCTGCAGGCTCTGAGTATCTGAAAAACTGGATATCATGAAGTCAAACTTCTTGAATTCCTTACATTCGCCTCTTTGAAACAGAGAAATGGAATGCAAAGGTATGCCTGAGCACTCTGACTTTCACTCTCCAGCAGAAATCAGTAGTCTGAGACCAGCCCAACTTTTCGAGATTTATTTTCCACTGATCAGTTGCCTAACAGAAGAGCAGAACCAATGAATGTTTCTATTTTCCTCCTAGAATGAATTTTTAATGTTTTTTTATTTCATTTTTATAATTTAAGAGTGTAGTTTGAAGTATGTGGTATTAAAAAATTAGATTTATTTATTTTATTTCATGTGTAAAACTGTTTTGTTTGCATGTCGGGTGCTTGAGGCCAGAAAAGAACATCAGATTCTCTGAATTGGAGTTAGAGATGGCTGTGAGCGATCATATGAGTGCTGAGAAACAAACCTGAGCCCTCTTAACCATTGAGCTATCTCTCCCGCACACTGTTTTTTGTTTTTTGAGATGAAGCTGTTATATAGCTCAGGCTGGCCTTAAATTGCTAGAGGAGATTGTCCCATCTCTGCCTCCAAAGTGCTAGGATTACTGGCTGTGGAAAGGTTTTCTTTTTTTTTCTTTTCTTTTTTTTTTTTTTTTTTCAGTCTGTTTTTAACTTCTCTCCCCCCAAACAGGGTTTCTCTGTGTAACAGAGCTCTAGCTGTCCTGGAACTCACAGAGATCCACCTGCCTCTGCCTCCCTGGTGCTGGGTTTAAAGGCTTGTACTGTGAGCAACATTAGACCAAATCTGGCGAAGGGAAATATCCATGAAAAATGGGACTGAGTTCTAACATTGATTCTGATTCATTGTTTAAAACCTGTCTGTCTGTCTGTCTGTCTGTCTGTCTGTATCTATCCATCTATCTCTCAAGTGCTGGGAATAGAGGTGTGTGCCACCATACCCAGCATAACACAAGTTTTATGTGGCACAAGAAATGTCATTTTAGGGAGGGGGTACTGATATGTGGAATAGACCAGAAAGAAAAAAAGAAAAGAAAAGAAAAAAGGGTAAAAAAAAAAAAAAAGGAAACTGAAATGTTATATTTAAAGCAAAGAGACCTGGGCTAGGGCATCCATGGAAGGAGTAGCTATGCAGATAAAGCTAACAAGGTTTATTTGGGCAGAATTCTGTGGGCCTCCACTTTCCTATCCTTGATAAGAATGAGAACAGGTTCACAGGGAATTTCATTGGTTTCTGAAAAGTAGTTCATTCAGAGTCTTCGTTTTATGCCTGCTGCTTTTCAAATGCCTTTAATTCAAACTGTCCATCTGCCAGCCTTCTCCTGGGAGCCAAGAGGCCCCAGGCAGCAGCTCAAGCTGGAAGAAGCCAGAACCCCCTGCCCTGCTTCTGCAATCAGAGTTCTGGGGATGCTTCTGATACCAGGATACAGCAGGTAGGTGTGTCCCCAAGACACCTTTCTCTAGCCTAGGACCTGGAACCTCCTTTTTGTAAGGAGTTAGATGTTACGTATTTTCTACTGCTGTTTGGTGTGGCTACAGATGAAGTTGTCTATGGCTGTGGCAAGCAAACAAACAAACAAACAAACAAACACCTTAATGTATTGGCTGGGGAGATGGTGCGGTTGATAAAATACTTGCCAGGCAAGCATGAGGACCCACTTGCTTGAGCCTTAGACCCCATATCAGAAAGCCGGGCTCTGAGACATGTACTTGTAATTCCAGTGCTGTGGAGCTGACGAAAGAAGGCTCACTGGAGCTCACGGGCGCTCACGGAAGCTCACTGTTCAGCCACCTTAGCTTACTTATTGAACTCCATGCAATGACAGACTCTGCCTCACAACAAGGTGGACATGAGGAATAGCGACTTAGATTGTCCTTTGACCTCTACACACACACACACACACACACACACCCTTACATATGGGCAATACAATTTTATGTAATTTATCATGGAATGGTATTATTTTAATTCACTGTCAACCTTTTGAAATATAAAAATGGCTATGAACTATGAAAAAATAAGAGGCCATGTATGAACCTTCCATGGTGTGGGTAGACCTTCCGACTGGTGAAGCAGCTTTGGACATCTGAGTCCTTTCTAAAAGCAATGTAAATTTGCACATACTCACATAATATTATTTTTTCCTCAAACAAAGGTAATCTTTGCTGGATATGGTGGTTCACACCTGTAATCCTAGCACTTGGGAGGCAGAAGCAGGAGGATTGCTGCAAGTTGGTGTTCAGGGTGAGCCTGGATGACAGTGTGAGTGGAGACTTATCTGAAGAGACAAAACAAACAACAATGTCAACCAAAACCTGTCATAATGCTTAGACCTGTAATTCCCAAGTAAAATTGTTTCACTAATATTCTCCTAATTATAACTGCATATTAGAAAGAGTTGTCTCAAAGGGCAGAGGCTAGTATTAGAGATCATTTAAAAATACCCTTGTTATGGACTTAACACCTTGATCACAATGGGGATTATTATGTGAATCAAGTTGTTTTCATATTGTCAGGTTCCTCTCCATCCTTCTCTTGCTTTACTCTATAGCACAAAGAATTTCTTCCCTAGGATCCTTTGCCCTCTGGCTTCCAGACAGGCATGGAATGATTAGCAGGTAGGAGTAAGGCAGAAGCCAGGACAGCTCTTCAGCCCTTGGATCCCAGTACATCTTAGTCTCCTCAGGACATCGGTTCAGGGATAGCAGCTGCCTCTTGCTGCTACTGGTCTGTGTGGTGCTCACCTGTGAGTTCCCCATGCTGGCAGCCAGCTCATTTTCCTTCCTCTGACAATGTGTTTTAAATTTAGCCCAGGCCATCTGCTTCTTGCAAGTGGTCTTTCGTATGCAATCTTGCTTCAAACCAGTTCTCTCGGGCCCAGGTCACACAACCCAACTGCTGTGACAGGACTAAATCTAAGCATCTACAAAAGCTAGCGGTTGGGGTAGGAGAGGGCTGAAAGTACAGAAGCAGGAAGAGCTACTAAACTCTCTAAGCACCTGCTTGGAAGGGTCATTTAGTTGTTGGCTGTTTCTGGTCTTACTGCCACAGAACGCTACCTACGTGTAAAATGTTGACCCCGACGTGATTTGAACACGCAACCTTCTGATCTGGAGTCAGACGCGCTACCGTTGCGCCACGAGGTCGCCTTGGGCCGCTCCCTTGATTGCTGTCTAACCACATCTACGTTGCTAGCGTCTGCGCTGAACCCCGCGAGGCCGTTGAGCGGCCTGGACCACTTCTCCCTTCGCTCCCCCGGGGGATGCTAGCCAGGGCGGGCCCTGGACGCCGTCCGAAGTCCACTGGCGCCGGCGGCTGCGGGAAAGGCCTCCTGACGGTGCAGCGGCCGAGCCAGCCGCCTGCGCGCCGCG